TTTTCAAAATTATCTAATTTCAATGACCTGATTCTAGATATATGGGATCCTAAATGTCTATGCGATGATGAGCATCTAACACAAAAGACAACCAAAAAATTAACAGAGACCCATTCAACCGACTCAGTAGACCCACAATCAACACACATATTATTGTCACTATTAGGAATAGCTCTAAGTAGTGTCAAATAATCCCTGTCAAACATTGGAGATTTAGATTGAATTGAAATTGGGGATACTGAGGCTTCCAGTGTCTTCCCAGGGATTCCTGGTCTATCAATACTTGCTAAATCAGTAATCAAGCTTCCCAATTTTTGCTTATCTTTGTTTTCTTTGTAAGAAGGTTTATTGGTAACCTTTAATCTATTTATGTCAACCAACTGGCCGGCATTATATAGCGCTTTAATCCATTTATTTCTTTCGTCTTCATTAATTGCTTGAAAAACATGCTTGTTTCCCAAAGAGGTAAATATCTCGAAACAATGTTGTCTCTTCTCGTAATTTATAGGTTTAACACTAGATAAAGCAATCTCAATTGACTTATTAATAGGTACTTTCCCTTTTCTCCAATCTGAATATTCAGTCAATTGGCCGTTTTTCAACACCACCCACTCTTTATGCCATCCTTGTTTACCTTGTCCTCCTAACGTATACAATATTCCTTCCATTTCAGAATTTTGATCATCCCGAGATACCATAGGAACAGCCGTAATAGTACTCACTTGAGATGTTTTCGCAAATATTAAATCTAAATTATCTTTGGAGATATATTGATTGTCATCTACGACATCCAAGTTATCGCTAGGCACATATCGATTCAACTTATTGTATCGTATGACACTTGTCAATTCCTCGTTAGATTGACATGCTTCAATCATTTGACGAAACTGGAATTTTTCACTGTTAAATTTTGATAATGCAGTTAGATATATCTCGTAGTTACCTAACAATAGGCTTCTACTTAACTTAACGTCTAAAAATATTTCAGTGTGTAAATATTTACCATGGTAATTCAAGTTAATGAATTTGAACAAATTTTCTAACAACTGGTTAAAATATTGATTATTTAACAATTGATTAAAATGATTTAAATAATGGAATTTTGATAGCTCAAAATTTTTTCTCTTACTTAATAATTTCAGTTCTGGACGTTCTTTCTCATTAGATAAATATTTATTAAGCCAACTGTAATAATCTTTAGATGTATTCTCAAAGTGCTTTTTATTGTATAATAATTCATTAGAACTTGAAGCTTCATTGCCTGTTAGATTTGTAGATAATGTAGAAGAAATTTTATCTAGGATTTTGCTGTCACAAACGTCTCTTGTGAAAAAAAGTAAGTTCTTTTCGAACGGGTCAAATATAGAATTAATTGCAGTTTTGAAGTCAGTCTTGAAATTAAACTGCGATAACAAGGAATTGAATTGCAAGTTGACTAAATCATTCATCACTTCTATTAGTCTTTTCTTGCATATGAGAAGCTTTTTCATGTAAAATTCCAAATTCCTTCTTTGTTCAATAAATTCGCCACAAATCCTTTTAAAAGCTGGTAATTCAGCTTCATAAATTTGCAAAGCTTCTCTGAATTCTGGACCATCTTCAATATTAAAACTAAAGACTTTTCTATAATCTGCTAGTTTCGCATATCGTATTTTTTTTGTAGACCTTAAAACGTTCTTGTCTGATTGTGTGTTGACTTCTTCTACATCTTCTTTAGTTCGATAGTCATCCACTTTTACTGGGGCTTCATTATCATTAGGAATACTTGCATCAACCCACACTTTAAAATTACACAAGTGTGTGTATTCATTTGCAGCACTATCAAATTCCCATAAAGATATATTCATCATATTGTCTTGAAATATACTTGTGTTAAAATTGTCATTTATTATTATTCGCTGGTATCCTTGGTGGCTCTGGTCAATCGGTAAATTATTATAATGTAACTTTGAAACTTCAATTCTCATACTTTCATAAGATTGGCCCTGCAAAACTTCATTTAACTGGTTAATATCATCGTTGTCTGCTAATGTTTTTAATATAACCAATGATTTATCATTTCTCCCCGCAAGCACTGGCTTTATTGATATATTCAATTTCAATCTATTATATGAGGAGGGAAATCGAATTAATAATGGAACCATTGGAGTCGTAGAAGGATTTTGAATGTAACTCATTAAATCTCCAATTGGTTCTTTAGTTTTAGTGTTAATCTTAGATATAGATATGCATTGCTTGATATCTTGTACATGACCCAATATTATTGAGTATCTTATGGTATCGTTATCATTGGTCAAGAATAGTTTATTTAGAGATATATGGCTTCCGGGTGATTGAACGTATGGAAATGATAACAGTGGTATATTATCCATATTTCACTTATGGTACAATATTTTCTGAATTGTAATTCTGTCTCTATAAAGCCTTGTAATGTACTTCTTAAGAGCAAAAAAATGTGGTACAAAAGTAAAATGTTATTCTATCAGTATTAATATCTACATTATTACTATATTAATATACCAAAAGTTGTCGATTCGTTAATCTTCTCAAATCTATAGCTATTAACCTAGAATAAAGACGGGTTGACACACCCTCAAGAACATTTAGGAACTTTGATATTATAGCCTAAGGTATTAGAATAAAAAATTATGCGAATTCTGTGGATCGAACACAGGACCTTCAGATTAACTGGACTGAAGTTGACTTCAGTCTGACGCTCTCCCAACTGAGCTAAATCCGCATAAAACAAACCCACGGCGGGAGTCGAACCCGCAATCTTTTGATTAGAAGTCAAACGCGTTAACCATTACGCTACGCAGGCTGTTACTATAAGTAATTTGGGTCTGTGGTTAGATATGTCCACAATTTATGATTATTTACTTCATATCTTTAAGAAGTTATCTACTATATTTCTACGTATATACTTATATAAATATATACATGTACGTGGGATTCTCTATAATAGTATAAATATTTCAACCGTTATTGATATCTTTTTTTGATCTCGATGCACTTGTGGTAAAATTTCGAAGACTCATAAAAAAACTGATTTATTGCATTCATGGTATGAATTGTCTAATCAGCACCATAAAGTATTCGATTACGAAACCAATCCAATTCAAAAGTAGAAGATCCATATACAAATCATTTCAAAATTTTCATACCATGAAGAGAGATATTCATTCTTCAATTAGTTTGAATGATACGGAATTGAAAATTCGAAATCTATTAGTCGATTTTTGTGAACATTATAACTCAAACTGTGAACCTAACAAGGACCTAGTTTTAAGAATTACCGGAGGATGGGTTAGAGATAAGTTATTAGGAAACGAAAGTAATGATTTGGACATAGCAATCAACCATCTTTCGGGAGAAGAATTTGCATCAAGGTTACATTCATATTTAGATCAATATCATCCTAGTCTAACATTAAAAGCTATTCATACAATAAAGAAGAATCCAGAAAAATCGAAACATTTAGAGACGTGCACAACAAAGTTATTCGGTTTGGATATAGATTTCGTTAACTTGCGATCAGAGGAATATACAACTGATAGTCGAGTACCAATAATTGAATGTGGAACCGCAGAAGAAGATGCATTGAGAAGAGATGCTACATTAAATGCGTTGTTTTACAATATAAATCAAGGTATAATTGAGGATTTTACTGGAAAGGGATTAGATGATCTAAGAAACGGGATCTTGAGAACACCATTACAACCGTTACAGACATTTCTAGATGATCCATTAAGGGTTCTTAGATTAATTAGATTTGCCAGTAGATTTGATTTCTTGGTGGAATCTGAGACGTTAGAATCAATGACAAATGACGAAATCAAATCAACCTTAGTGCATAAGATAAGTAGGGAAAGAATTGGGGTAGAAGTTGAGAAAATTTTGACGAGTAAAAATCCTGAATACGGTTTGCATTTGATCAACTACGTTGGTCTAACTAAGAGTATATTCAATGCCGGACCGTTTAATCAAATAATCGAGGAAAATAATAATCAGGATACCCTAAATGAATTGAACTCTTGTGCTCAAAATCTTAGTTCTCAGCTTCCGATAGTACTTGGACTTTTCCCTGTATTTCAAAATACTGTTAAGAGGTCTAATTTATCTAGCTTTCACGAAGCACACGATGCAATATTTAATGATAAGCAATTAAAAAAGTTATTCTGGTTATGCGCAATCTTACAGCCTTACAAATCTTTTTCTGTTAAATCAAATGCAAAAAGAGTTATGCGTACTCAAATGGTAGAAATAATTCTAAAAGAGGGCTTGAGGTTTGGTAAACATGAGTTTGACCCAGTGTCTACAATTGTCAAGGAATCCCAATTATCGCATGAGATACTAGATAGATTCTTTACGGACCCAGAACAACTTCAAAGATCTGAACTCGGTTTATATCTCAAGCAATTTGATAAATACTCAGCATTGAATATTGTGTTTAATTGTTTCAATGATATTGTGCAAGAAATCTCTCATCTCGAGGTTCCAAATACACTTCCTTCTCCAGTACCTGTGAATCCTTTACAATTAGATACTTCAGTCATAACAAAATATGTACAAAGATACGAATGCTTACTTGATGCCATTATAAAACAAGAATTGACAGAAGTTCATATAATGAGACCATTAATAGATGGAAAAACACTTTCTAAAGAGCTCAGTATGAAGCCAGGTCCTTGGATGGGTAAAATAAATTCTGAGATATTAGTATGGCAATTAGACAACCCTTCAGGCAGTAAAGATGAGTGCATAAGTTATGTTAAAGAAATCTTACCTAAATATATATGATTCTATAGCCTTAATTAGCACTATCAACATATACGAAAATCATAAAGTCGTGCGTGTGCACCGTGAAAAATTATGAATCATACTGAAAAGTGCTTAACCGGCCGGCCATAAATTTCTAATTAAACTAGTTAACGAATTCTTAAAGTTAGCGCTAACAGACTATAGCTAATTGAAAAAATAGGTATATACTTTAATCAACTATGTCAGAAGTTGAAAAAGTATCAATTTTGGGTGCCAAAACCATTCATGTTGGGTATGGTATTCAGGACCACATTGTTGAAGAAACCATTACAAATACGGCTTCTTCGACATATGTGATTATAACTGATACTAATATGGCTAGCACCCAACCATTTATAAAGTTGGTTGAGAAGTTTACAAAAAAATTAAACGAAAAGAGACCTGAATCTCGTCTCCTTAGATATAATGTATCCCCAGGTGAAAACAATAAGAGTAGAGAGACCAAGGCTGCGGTCGAAGACTTTTTATTGCAACAAGGATGTACTAGAGATACTATCATTATTGCTGTAGGTGGGGGTGTTATCGGTGATATGATCGGTTTTGTAGCTGCCACCTTTATGAGAGGAGTTAGACTCATTCAAGTTCCTACTAGTTTATTATCGATGGTCGATTCTTCAATTGGAGGTAAGACTGCCATTGATACTCCTTTAGGTAAGAATTTTATTGGAGCATTTTATCAACCACAATATGTTTTCGTCGATGTATCGTTCTTAGAAACTTTACCAACAAGGCAATTTATAAATGGTATGGCTGAAGTAGTGAAAACTGCTGCTATTTGGAATGAGAAAGAATTCGTAAGACTTGAAGAATTTGCTGAAAAGTTCATTTCTGTGGTGACTCAAAATGACATTGAGCTCAGTACGATAAGGGACGATTTAGTTAAGACAGTTTTAGAATCTATTAAAGTTAAAGCTGATGTTGTGTCGTCGGATGAAAAAGAGGCAAGTTTAAGAAACCTTCTTAATTTCGGACACACAATAGGACATGCTATTGAAGCCATTTTAACTCCACAAGCGTTGCATGGTGAATGTGTGTCTATTGGTATGATTAAGGAAGCAGAATTAGCAAGATATTTAGGTATATTATCTCCTGTTGCTGTTGCAAGGTTATCTAAATGTCTTGTATCTTACCAATTACCTGTTTCACTAGATGATAAGATATTCTCAAAAAGAGTTGGCAACAAACGTCATTATGTTGTAATTGATACTTTATTAGAAAAAATGCTTATAGATAAGAAAAACGATGGTAGTAAAATCAGGTGTGTTATATTAGAAGCTATTGGTAAATGTTACCAATTGAAGGCACATCAAATATCAAAAGAAGAATTGAAGTTCGTTTTAACTGATGAAGTATTAGTACATCCATTTGACGCAGAACAAGTCCCAAGTACCAATACAATCATTCCACCTGGTTCCAAATCTATTTCGAATAGAGCGTTGGTTTTGGCAGCCTTAGGTTCTGGTACCGTTAGAATCAAAAACTTGTTACATTCTGATGACACTAAGCATATGTTAGATGCCGTATCTCATTTGAAAGGTGCAGAAATAACTACTGAAAATAACGGTGAAACTGTTGTCTTAAAAGGTAATGGAGGTAAGATGGTAACATGTGAACAAGAATTGTACTTAGGAAATGCTGGTACAGCATCGAGATTTTTAACCACTGTTGCTTCACTAGTTGGCATTAATCAGTCTTCTTCGAACAAACATGTTATTTTGACAGGTAATGCTAGGATGCAGGAGAGACCAATCGGCCCACTTGTTGATGCGTTAAGATCGAATGGTTCATCTATTGATTATATGAATAAGGAAGGTTCGTTACCATTGAAAATTGAAGCGGGTAAAGGCATAAAGGGTGGTAGAGTTGAATTAGCTGCTACTATCTCTTCTCAATATGTTTCATCCATCTTAATGTGCGCCCCTTACGCACAAGAACCAGTTACATTATCATTGGTGGGAGGTAAACCTATCTCGCAGTTATACATCGATATGACTATTTCCATGATGAAATCCTTTGGTATTAATGTTACGAGGTCAACTACGGAAGAGCATACTTATCATATACCAAAAGGTGCATATGTGAATCCATCTGAATATGTTATTGAATCTGATGCGTCTTCAGCAACTTATCCATTAGCATTTGCAGCTATGACAGGCACTTCATGTACTGTTCCAAATATTGGATCTTCGTCATTACAAGGAGATGCAAGATTTGCAGTCGATGTTTTAAAACCAATGGGATGTAAAGTTGATCAGACTGCTACATCTACTACAGTAACAGGTCCACCAAAAGGACAGTTGAAACCATTACCACATGTTGATATGGAGCCAATGACAGATGCATTTTTAACGGCTTCAGTTGTTGCAGCCATTGCTAATGATCCGTATCAGTCGACGTCAATTACTGGAATTGCTAACCAAAGAGTTAAAGAATGTAATAGAATTGAGGCTATGATTACTGAATTAGCAAAATTTGGTGTCAAGGCCGATGAATTACCCGACGGAATTAGAATCAACGGTATTGATTACCATAATTTAACTACTCCTTCTATTAAGGCAAGAGGAATAAAGGCATATGATGACCATAGGGTTGCTATGTCGTTCTCATTATTAGCTGGTATGTGTGTAAACCCTGTGTTGATCCAAGAAAGATCCTGTACTGGTAAGACATGGCCTGGATGGTGGGACATTTTGCATACGAAGTTCAAGGCAACTCTTGACGGTTATGAATTACCAATCAATACTGACGATCCATCATTGTTGATTGACAAACATGCAAATGGTGATAGAAGTATAATTGTTATTGGTATGAGAGCTGCAGGTAAAAGTACATTATCCAAATGGATGGCCTCCTTCATGGGATTTAAGTTTCTTGATTTGGATGAAGTTCTTGAGGAAAAGTATGGTATTAAGATTAGACCATTTATCAAGGAAAACGGTTGGGATGAATTCCGTAGATTGGAGGCCATTGTAGCCAAAGAATGCTTTGAAACTTATAAGAAAGGATATGTTCTTTCAACAGGTGGAGGTATTGTTGAAGGTAAAGAAGCTAGAGAATCATTGAAAGAGTACGTAAAATCCGGAGGTATTGTGCTACACTTACATCGTGATTTGGATGAAACCGTTGTCTTTTTATCAGCAGATACTACAAGACCTGCTTTTGTCAATGAGATTAAGGATGTATGGATCAGAAGAGAAGGATGGTACCATGAATGCTCGAACTATCACTTCTATTCATCTCATTGTTCAAATGAGCTAGAATTCAAGCATTTGAGAAATTCGTTTATCAGTTACTTGAAGACCATCACTGGCCTTCACGTCACAGAGATCCCTAAAAAGAGATCGGCGTACGTGAGCTTGACATATCCAGATTTAAATGAAGTGACTGATTCTTTAGAGGAAATAGCCACTGGATGTGAAGCAATTGAATTAAGAATTGATCTTTTGAAGGATTATTCTAAGTCGTTCGTTGCCGATCAAACAGCGACTTTAAGAAAGTATGTAAATCTTCCGATCATCTACACTATCAAAACAGAGTCACAAGGTGGTAAATTTTCAGATCATGAAGTGGAACAAATTGAAGAATTGAGTTATTTGGGTATTAAATTAGGGGTAGAGTATTTGGATATTCAATTAAATTATCCTAATGCATTGATTCACAAAATAATGGAAAGAAAGGCATTTACCAGGATAATTGGTTCGTACCATGATAAGAGTGGTCTTTTGGACTGGAAGAATGTTGAATGGGATAACAAATACAATCAAGCAGTTTCTTTACAGGTCGATATTATTAAATTGACTGGGGTTGCTTCATGTTTCCAAGACAATTTAGATTTAGAAACTTTTAGATCGCCACATGATTTAAAACCCTTGATTGCAGTTAATTTGGGTGAGAGCGGCAAGTTATCAAGTGTGTTAAATAAAGTTTTAACCCCAGTGACACATTCTTTATTACCACCTGATGCTACTAGTGCCCAATTAACAATCGATGAAGTAAACAAGTCCTTTGCAGAAATCGGTGGCTTTGTCAACAAGAAATTTTGGGTCGTCGGCTATCCAATAATGCATTCGAGGTCTCCACATTTGCACAATGCGGCATACAAGAAGTTGAATCTTCCTTATGTGTTTGACAGACTCGAAACTGATGATGCAAGCGAGGTATACGAGAAGTTGATGAAACAAGAGAACTTTGGTGGATTAGCAGTGACAATGCCTTTGAAATTGGATATAATGAAGTATTTGCATGAATTATCTGATGCGGCTAAGGCTATTGGTGCTGTCAACACTGTTATTCCATTGGAAGGTAAACCAGGCCAGTTCTTGGGTGACAACACTGACTGGGTAGGAATCACTAACTCCTTCACCAGATACGGGGTCCCAAGTATTGAAAACTCGAATGTCAACGGGCTTGTTGTAGGTGGTGGAGGCACATCAAGAGCGGCCGCATTTGCATTGCACGAAATGGGGTGCCAGACCATCTACATGATGAACAGAACGTCATCGAAACTCTACGACATCAAAAACTCGCTTCCAGCACTGTTCAACATCGAGATCTTGGAATCGGTCGACCAAGTGGACGCCGCCAAGCCAGTCTCATTGGTCGTCTCGTGCGTGCCCGCTGATAAACCTATCGACGACAACCTCCTCAACATGTTGGAAAGAATGCTCCACCAAGGTATCCTCATCAAGCACGGCTCCTTTACGCCAACTTTGCTCGAGGCCACCTACAAGCCAAGACTTACGCCGGTGATGAGAATTGCCGAGGAAAAGTTCGAGTGGAATGTTATCCCTGGTGTTGAAATGCTTGTCAACCAAGGTGAAAGGCAATTCCAGCTTCACACCGGTTTCACCCCTCCTTACAGTGTTATTCACCACGCTGTGGTCTCCGAATAGTCTTGTTTTATCTTTTACTAATTATATAACGTTTTTATTTTATAATTCTATCCACACGTTTTCATTTAAATTATGCTGGACCTTCAACGTAACCCATGAGACCTATGCTACCTTTGCAGCCTATGAACCATTCAATCGGACATTTTAGGAACACTTCGGATTAACTCGCTGTGCGACGATACTTCGATGCCGTATGTCATCGGAATAACCATACTCTAATCGCACGGCGTTAAAGTCCGACCGATGCGGTCTTACAAAAAAAAAACTGGCGAACAAATTATATTCAATATGCAGTATTGAAGAAAAAAGAAAACCTTAGGGAGGAGAAGATGGCAAAGCAAAAATGGGACGTAATTATAGCACTCATTAATGTAAAGGAAAAAATGTCCTATAGAATACAGAGTTAACAATAATAACAATATAAGACTAAAATGAGTATACGAATAGGGTATAAGAGAAACTTAATAATAAGCGGGGCGAAATCGGTATCGGTACGGATTAAGCGTGATTATGTCAATAGTATCATGAAGGGTGCTCGACACTATTTTATGAGTCAAGAAAGAGAAAGCCCGATCGAAGAAGACAATCCGTACATCCAGTATCCGTTAGTAACCAAAGAGCAAATGAAAAGGATAACGAATGACAAATTCAAGTTTGATTTTGCCTACACTTCATATGCACATCACAGCACTGATAGTGATCCAATGATCCATTCACTTTCAGATTTGACAGAGCCCACACAATTGACGTCTTTGTTACCAAGAAGGAGGCCTCATGGCTCTCCCATTGATACGTTGTCAATCAAGGCAGGAGACGATGCGATGTTGGTGTCGCCCACGGTGTTGGCTATCGCCGATGGGGTTTCAGGATGGGAGAGTAAAGGAAAGCACTGTTCTTCAGGAATATGGTCGAGATCGATGGTAGAGACATTGAGTCGACTTATGACGGAGTATAAGCTTAACCATGCGCCACATCATTTGAATAAAAGAGATATTGATCAGATCTTGGATGATTCGTATTTGCACACGTCACACTTGATGGACCTCCAGAAATTGAGAGGTTCATCTACGTTGATATTAGGGATGTTAAGTGGCGAGTATTTGAAGATGATAAGCATAGGTGATTCTAAAATGTACATTATTCGGGACGGAGAGATTGTCAAGACGAATGAGGAGCAAATGATTTCAGACTTGTGCCCACAACAAATCGGAACGCAAACCCTCACATGCTTACCGTCAGAAATTGCCTGGGTCGATTCGATTAAATTAAAACCTAACGATATAGTTTTAGCTTGTTCTGATGGAATTTCTGATAATTTATATGAATGGGAAATACTAGATTACGTTGATGCGTATTTAACTGGGAAAAACAACGATTTGAAAAGCTTAGCAAATAAATTGTTATTCAAAGCAAAAGAAATTGGATTTGATGATTATGCATTTACTCCATATAACGAGAAGGTTAATGCTTTACCTGAAAAGAAATATGGTAAACAATCTAGTACAGGTGGTAAGCTTGATGATATGTCAATATGCATTGCAAGGGTGGTTCCCAATAAATCGTTAGATTCAAAATAGATTTAAAATGCAAGTAGAAAAATAAAAAATAAAAAAAAATTTGGGTGGCATAATGTTAAAGGTTTATATAGACAATAAATATAATATAATATAATAATAATAAATTTCATACTAAACTTCAGTTACTACAGAGCGTTCGTTTATATATAACAAATTTTATTATTATAAATTGTATCTAGATTGAAGCAACCTCAGTAAAATATTGCCTTAATACCAAGGAAAGCATTTCAGGAAGCTCATTAATATTTCTAACCACCACGAAAAACTCAAATGGAAAGGTGTCCAAGTATTTATTGACTTTCAAATTCATAGCCCCAGTACTTGGATCAGTTTCATAGTTTACTTGACTCATATCCAATATTGATTCACTTGAATTAATTCCATCAACTATCACGAAAACTAGCATGATTTTTTCTTCCCTAGCTTTTCTCACTAATCTTTGTATAGTATCATGATCCTCACAAACACCATCCGAGATTATGATCTGCAATTGCCATAAGTCATCATTCGATGTTGATTTTGCAGTTTCAAATATTTTCAATGATTCCGTACATAATTTCTTAATATCAGTCTTTGTTTGCTGGAAATCAAACCACAGGAATATATTAGACCCTGTCTGTTGATTATTAAATGGCTTATCAAATGGATGAACGACTTTAACACTTTCTCCGAATTTTACAATCGATAATCCACCGCTTTCTAATTGTGTTAACGCCTTTGATACTAATGCAATGCTGTGGAAAGCTAATTCTGTAGATTTGGATTCACTCATAGATTTGGAATCATCAACAGCTATCATAATTTGATACTGTCTCTTTGATGGTTTAGTTCTTCTCAACCAAATCTTATCTTTTCTGAAATCAGACGCAATATAAGGAATAATTCTTTTCATATTAAGTCTTTTACCTGTCTTGTAATCACCCCGTAATTTTGTAGCTAATGTTGGTTCCAAAATTAACCTCAATTGTTCACATAAGCCTGATGCTAGTTCTTGTGTGGCCAATTCACTGGTCTTCCACAATTCACGAGCATCTTCAATATCAATAGGAGGAACATCATCATTCTCATACTGTTTATCATTAACAATGTCCATTTCTTCGTCGAATCTACTTTCCATATTGTTCAATTCGCTATTTATGATTAAATCATCTTCTTCCGCCAATCTTTCCTCATTCATAAATATCCCCTTTGTTTTACCTTCAAAATCGGCTTCAGGATCTGCCTTTTGGTCTTCGATTTCTTCAACATTATCATCTATATCCATTTTATCTTCTTCTTTTATTTCTTCTGCTTCTTCTTTAACTTCTTGTTTTTCTTCATTTGCCACTTCTTCATCATCATCAATAGCATTTTCTTCGTCAATAGCTTGGGTCTGATCTTTATCTGCTGCACCTAGCGCTTGTGTGTCAAAATCTGCATTATCACCATCAACATGTTGGAATTCATCAGGCCTTTCATTTGCTGATTGTTTAACATCTTCTTGTTTCTCTTCAATTGAAGATTCTTTAATTTCTTGTCTACGACGATGAAATTCTTTTAATGAATCACCCAATTGTTTCAATGATTCCTTGGCCATATCACGAGCATCATCTGGAGTATTTTTATCTTCCTTTTCTATATCTTGTTGGTTAGAATCCGCTGATGCTCCTCCTGTCGCCCCTATATCATCATTCTCCTCAATAACCTGGTTATCTGAACCGTCTCCCTTTTCTCCTGATTCCTGCTCCACTGCTGATTCCATGTCCATATCTTCATTAGCAGCATCATCATCTGCACCATCAACTCCTTCAGCTGTCTCTTGATTTAAATCTTTATCATTACCACCAGTTTCTTTATCATTTCCTTCTTCTTCTTCTTCGTTACCTTTATCCTTGGCAACATCTTCGTCTGAATCAAAACCTTCCTCGTTTGGCTCCTCCGAGACATCATTATTTTGATCATTCTCACCATTCTCATCATCATTCTCCTCATCTTCCTCATTTTCTTCACCTTCCTCGTTTTCATCAGGTTTGTTACCCTCTTCTGGGATTGTATCTTGTTCTTCGTCTTTTACTTCATTCTTCTCATCATCAAGGTCGATATCCATCTTATCTTCAAAATCATCCCCTTCATCTTCATTCTCTTCCTTTTCTTCATCGCCAGAATCAAGATTCATATCTTCAGGAAGATCTAGGACTTCACTCTCAGGAACGTGCTCTTCAAGCTGTTCGTTTTCTTTATTCTGAACTTCATCATCTTGTTCACCTACGTCTTTGTCATCACCTTCTTCATCGTTATTTTCATCTTCACTATTGTCTTCAGTCTCTTCTTGATCATTAGATTTTGTTTCGTCTTTTTTATTCTTATCAGCAGAACCTTTCTCTTCATCCTCTTTAGCTTCCATATTATCATCATCATTAGTCGAATTTTCTGGCATTTTATCTGAATCCTTTTCTTTATTATCCTCTTTAGCTTCTTCATCCCACATCTTTTCATCGATAGCATTTGGATCGAGATCATCAATATCATCAACCTCTTCATCCAATTCTTCGTCTTCACCTTCATCGTCTTCCGCGTCGTCTTTTTCTTGATCAGAAGCTTCTTCAAGATCACCGGCCATATCCCCCTCCATATCAACTGCATTGTCATCATCATCTTCCTTATCATCTTTATCCTTATTATCTTCATTAGGTTGTTGCGCATCTTCTGTCAAATCATCATCTTGCTCAATGTCCTTAGAGTTGTTATTTGCCCCATCTCCATCACCTAAACCTGTACCGTCTTGTAAATTGTCGTTCTCCTTTTGGTCAGATGGTGGTTCTGGAGAACAGAAACCTTTAGTAGCTAATGTGTGAAGAGATGATGTTAAAATGAAAGTTGCATGTGATGTTGAAGTATAGTTAGATCTAGTTTTATCAAGAATTGTCAATGCCAATTTATAATAATGACGAATAAGGGGTAAAGTAAAACTAGCAAGTGCTGAAGTCAATCTCGATGTTTCGGAATTATGCTCAACTTTCGATATAATGTCAAAACACTGCTGCATTTTCTGAATCATTCTATTACTGTGCATAGATTTAATATACTTTATCATTCTCAGTTGTGTAAGAATTAACCAATTATCGTCATTTTCACTTATTGGTTCTGATTGGCTTTCAGTAACTTTTTGAACTGTTAATAAAATAAAAGTCGATAATTCACGGAATGCTCTCTCTATATCTTCTAATGTCCTGATTTCAGTTATCGAAGTGGAGCTGTTCACAAATGGTTGATATTTTTTTGCCTCTATCCAGGTTAAGATTGTATCCGAAACAAAGAATAGTTTATTAGTAGATACCTTCCAGGAATTCAAATCTTCAATTAAACTTTCGTAAAAAATTTTAAATTTTTCAATGAACTCAATGTTTTCTTGTTTGGTTACATTTTTATCGATACCTGACAACT